CAGGTCATGATCTCGTGGTTTGTGGGTTCGAGCCCTGCGTCGGGCTCTGTGTTGACAGCTCAGAGCCTGGAGCCTGCTTTGGATTCTGTGTCTCAGCCTCTCTCTGCCCCTCCCATGCTCATGCTCATGCTCTGTCTCTCAGTAATAAATAAATGTTAATTTTTTTTTTAAACGAAACAAAGTAAAACCAAATAAACAACACTCTTAGGCATGCTACTTGTGTATTTCTTTTGCATTAAAATTGGAGATTATGTCTCAACTACTAGATTTGAATCACTAGGTGAGAACTGTTTGTGACATTATATTGCTAACAAACCAGTTTTTCTAGTCTAAGTTTGTATTTTTAACCTTTTGTTGCATATGTATTTGCAGATGTCATTACTTATACTAGATGGTGAAATCACAAAAGTTGGGAAGGGAATATTTTAAGAGTTCTAGTCCTAGTATTAAATTCTTTATATCACATGACTATGTCTGTTGAGTGTGTGATCAAATGAAAACAATTATTTCTACAAGGTAGTGATTATTTAAGACTCCTAAATTGGTGTAATTTTGATTAATATCTATTTTATAAATATTTTGGCAAATTACATTGGCCTGATGCTGGGTGCCATCAGGCTAGCATTTAGAAACCACTGATGAAATAATAATCTTAAAACTACAACTGACAAGTATTCTCTTCCCAACCCTAGCATTGTTTCCCGCAATAAGCCAGGAATACTGCCTTTGAAATTATACATGTCTTTTTGTCATCTGCATTCCCATGATTGTGTTAACCACAGAGGAGGTGTCAGCTAATATTTGTCAAATAAATGGATAGAAATTCAATTGGAGCTGTACTATAAAATAAATACAGTACTTTTAAATACTTTAAGCCTGCTAAAAAGTAGAATTTAAACATGATGAATCTCCTACTAGGTATGGAAGGTTTATTATTGAAATTCACTGGTCATTACTTTTAAATGTGTTCAATCAAGAGGCAGAATTTTTAATATTATCAAGTTTGAATAATGGTTGTAAAAATTCCTCAAAATATTTAGAGATAACTGGCTCTAAATATTTAGAGATAACTATCTGGGTGGCCCAATTGGTTAAGTGTCTGACTCTTAATCTCAGCTCAGATCATGAGCTCATGGTCATAAGAGTGAGCCCCACATTGGGCTCTGTGCTGACAACACAGAGCATGCTTGAGATTCTCTCTCTTCCTCTCTCTCTGCCCCTACCCTGCTTGCTCTCTCTCTCAAATAAAGAAGTAAATATTAAACGACAAAAAAGCAAGGTTTGGAACCAGTCAGAATGTGAGGTTATCACAAAGGCACTAATTTTCTCTTATGTGGAAATAATGCGGAATTAATAATATGGAATTAATAATGTGGAAATAATGTGATCTTTTTTGATTGTGCAAAATGACCATAAGGGTTACGTTATCCACATGAGCTGAAAATTAGCAGATATCTAGGGGAGGCCACAATAGAGAAACATTCCATCCTTCCAAAAGAAAAAAAAGATCCCAACTGGAGTAGATGTGGATGTGGAGTAGATGTGGATGTGGATGTATTGGGGAATTGTCATGTACATCATCATTCTTATTCTTGGTAGGATACCAAAGGATTTCCTGACCTCTGCTTCCCAGTCTTCTTCACAGCTATAGTGTAGCGCTGAAGAGTTTATAGGTCATGTGTCATCCTTTCTTAGAGACCCAGAACTTATGTTTCCCATCCAAAAACTGGAACAGGACATGGGGACTATTCAAAGACAACAGTAAGGACTTATATGTATGAGTTTTGTCAGCCAACAGAGATGCCCAGACCTGTCAGAAATCCTTTAGTACTGCATCAGAGTAGGGACATGCGTATAAGGAAAAAGTGCAGAAGGTAACATAGTCTTACACACTTTTCTCCATAGCTGGCCATTGGGAAAAGCCCTCCCTTGATCAACTGAGTGTTCTAACGGCAAATTAGAGTTCCATTGTTCCATTCTATTCTGGAAAATTTATATAATAAAGTTCTTTAAAAAATAGTTTATTTTATGATTTTTTTTTCCAATTTAATCCACATATCTAAATCACCAAACGAGACGTGCCTGGCTGGCTTAGTCAGTAGAGCATGTGACTCTTTATCTTAGGGTTGTAAATTTGATCCCCATGTTGGGTGTAGAGATTACTTAAAAAAAAAATCTTAGAAAGAAAACTATCAAACCAATAAACTTGTTTTTATAATATCAAGGTTAGACCTATACTCTAGAGCTTGTTTTCTTGCTTGGGTTTAAATTCTCAATGCACCACTAACTGACTAAATAAGTCATTAAAAACCCCTGTGCTTCAGTTTCTTTATCTGTAAAATGGTGACAATATTATTACCTACCTACAGATTTGTAAGGATTAAATAACTCGATAAATGCAAAGAGTTTAGAACAGTTTTATTTACTAAATGTTTTCTGACTGATGGTTATAATTAGTGCTACTTATTTTTAGTAAGATTGTTTTTAGAGTTTAACCATGAACACTAAAAAATAAAATAAAGATGCCCTACGGTCTTAGTTTTAATGAAATAGCTATTGACGTCATCTGACAAGGTAGATAATTACAATTACTCTATTTTGTTATTTTTACCATTACTTACAAAAAATACATATTGAAATAGTTATAATTTAACATACAGTAAGTGCATGGAGTGTGCCTTACTTCTTTTCAAATCATGCATTTTAGTAAGTGAACTTCTAGCTTCATAAAGTAAAAAAAACAAAGTCTGTTAATTTGGGGTATTATATATACACGATCAAAACAGATGAAGGTAATGATTAATGTAGAGGCAATTTGTGCTGTAGACCCATGACCCAGATAGTAGTTAGTATCAAGTTACTTTGAGTAATTATTTGTTTTTGCTTAGAATGCATTTGTGTGCTGTTTTTATACTAATTGAAATATGAAAGCAATTCTGTTATCCTAAATTCTACCTACTTTTTGACTGCTTCAAATTATTAAATGAGTTGTAGATATCAAATATCACATTATTCAATGCTGGGTCATTAAATGTGAAATACTTTATAAGAGAACAATCATAGCCCAGTATGATTTTTTGAATATTTGTTTATATAATTTAGATACAGTTGGATATTTAAATTGTACTGGGGACTCTGTCATTTGGTGTCAGTGATTTGTTCCTTCATCTTATGACCTCAGGAGAGTCAATAAAGATAATAATGTAGGATTAGTTACTATTGGTATTAAAACATAAGTACTGTAAATTCTAAATGTTAAAAGATTCTAGAAGTCAGGGAAAATTTCTTCCATACATGCCTCATGAGTCATATGCTTTGAGGGTGCTACATAAATAAAGTAACATAACTCACAACAAGCCAATTCTATTCAAAAGTCTTGTCTCCATAAATCATATTGGATGATAACTCACTTTAACGTTCTTAACGTTCTTTTAAATAGATATAATGAAAGACACGGTCAATTTGATTTACACTCATGATGCAAATATCATCGCAGAAATTCTCTACTAGGTGTAGCCTACAAACCACGGAACTTTCTTGCTTCTTTTACTGTGTTTTTTTTTTTTCTTCAGAAAACTGATTTTTCCCCATCCCTCTTTGCTACAAAGGAAATTATTAGCAAGTCTTTACTTGTATGTATGTCCCAACTCTGACCACATCTTAATACCTCTGCAGCTAAAACCCTAGTCCAGGCAATTCTTCTCTCTTTCTTATATGTCAGCACTAGGCTTTCAACTAAGTCTTCCTGCCTCTGCTTTTGCTCCTTTTTTCCTTTACAGTCCATTCCAAAAACAATCCAGATATACTTAAAGCATAAATTTGATCATATCCCTCCTACACTTAAAATTTTCCCATGGCTTCTCATTGAAACTGGAACAAAACCCAAATTCCTCATAATGGGTATGCCTTTCTGCTAGATCCCATCACCTATCACTTGACCTTTCCTTCCCTCCAGCAACAACCCCTGACTCTACTACCCTCAGCCTCCAACTACCTTCCTGTTCTTTCTGTCCCTAGAATGTACCTTGTGACATTTGCACTTCTGTTCACTCTAGAATTCTTCCCTTAGGTCTCTGATTGCCTTCTCAAAATGTATGCCCCTGTTCGAGTGTCATCTTCTTAGAGAAGTATCTCCCAAATACTCTGGATAAAATTGACTTCTCTTTCTTCCAAATGATTCCCTATATCTTCATCCTGTTTGATTTTCTTTCTAGTATTTACCACTACCTGTTATTATACTGATCACATATTTATACCCGTTCTCACCTTTGTGTGCTGCTTTAGTATTTTCAGACATGTCTGGCACACGGTTGGCATATAATAAGCATTTGTTGAATGAAAAAATGACTGTTTTCAATAATGGGCTTTTAAAAAAATGTTTATTTTTGAGAGGGAGAGAGAGAGAGAGAGTAGGGGAGGGGAAGAGAGAGAGGGAGAGAGTAGGCTCTGCATTGTCAGAGTAGACCCCAACCTGGGGCTCAAACCCATGAGCTGCGGGATCATGACCTGAGTCGATATCAAAAGTCAGATGCTTAACTGAATGAGCCACTCACGTGCTTCAATAATGGACTGTTTTTAACTCTGTGATTCTCAGCATCATACCACCATTCCTTCCTATGCTATGTTTCCATGGTCTTTAGTCCCAAGGCTCCAACAAAATTTATCTTATTTTATCTTCCCTATTCATTTATACTTTGATTATTGTTTTAACTCTAGCAGTTCTAATTGTAGTTATATCACCTCTGGCTTCTATAGATAAAATGGCCTCAGTTGTCTTTGACGACAACTGCTCTTTCCAGAGCCCACTAAGAAATTAAAGGAAGTTACGATATTTTCCTTGATTTTTTTTTCTTGCAGTAAAACTTCTGATTCTTATGAGTCTCAGCCTCAAATGCATCTCTCATTAAGGATAAAATCTAGAAAGGGTATTAAAGTTAAACCATCTTTCTGAGTTTACACAGGTGATGACAGAAATATAATGTACTTTGTTTTTCTTTCAGATCTCCCACTAAAGACATGGATTCAGAAGAGAAGGAAATTGTGGTTTGGGTTTGCCAAGAAGAGAAGATTGTCTGTGGGCTAACTAAACGCACCACCTCTGCTGATGTCATCCAGGCTTTGCTTGAGGAACATGAGACTACATTTGGAGAGAAACGATTTCTGCTGGGGAAGCCCAGTGATTACTGCATCATAGAAAAGTGGAGAGGCTCAGAACGGGCTCTTCCTCCACTCACTAGAATCCTGAAGCTTTGGAAAGCTTGGGGAGAGGAGCAGCCCAATATGCAATTTGTTTTGGTTAAAGCAGATGCTTTCCTTCCAGTTCCATTGTGGCGAACAGCAGAAGCCAAATTAGTGCAAAACACAGAAAAAGTGTGGGAACTCAGTCCAGCAAATTACATGAAGACGTTACCACCAGATAAACAAAAGAGAATAGTCAGAAAAACTTTCCGGAAACTGGCTAAAATTAAGCAGGACACTGTGTCCCATGATCGAGATAGTATGGAGACATTAGTTCATCTGATTATTTCCCAGGACCATACTATTCATCAGCAAGTCAAGAGAATGAAAGAGCTGGATCTGGAAATTGAAAAGTGTGAAGCGAAGTTCCATCTCGATAGGGTAGAAAATGATGGAGAAAATTATGTCCAGGATGCATATTTAATGCCCAGTTTCAGCGAAGTCAAGCAAAAACTGGACTTGCATTCGGATGAAAACCAGATTCCGGACGACCTGACCGAAAGCGATGGAATTGTACACCTGGAGGAGCAATTAGCATATTACAGAATGCTCATTGATAAGCTCTCCGCTGAAATAGAGAAAGAGGTAAAAAGTGTTTGCACAGAGATAAATGAAGATGCAGAAGGGGCAGCTGCGAGTGAACTTGAAAGCTCTAATTTAGAAAATGTTAAGTGTGATTTGGAGAAAAGCATGAAAGCCGGTTTGAAAATCCACTCTCACTTGAGTGGCATCCAGAAGGAGATTAAATACACTGACTCATTGCTTCAGATGAAAGCAAAAGAATATGAATTCTTGGCAAAGGAGTTCAGTTCACTTCATCTTAACAACAAAGATGGATGCCAACTGAAGGAAAACAGAGGGAAGGAATCTGAGGTCCCCAACAGCGGTGGGGACGGTCCTTCCCTTACTCCGAGAGCACTTAACTTGTATACAAATGACACAGACTCAGACACTGGTATCAGCTCTAACCATAGTCAGGACTCAGAAACAGCTGTAGGAGACGTGCTGCTTCTGTCAACGTAATTTGAATGGCTTCTTTCTGAGCTACTGCAACGTTGTTCACGGTTGTTTAATAGGAAACCTTATTTTAAACATCACGTTCCGAAAAATGATGTAATTCATGTTAAGTATTCGGAAGTTAATAAAAGCTAGAGAAATTTGTAAGTTTATTTTTGACTTAAGATTTCCAAAGTGACCTCATGGTTACAAGTTTAGACGATGAGCTGTTTATTAGGAATGCAACACAAATAGCGTGCAGGTGTATAACAGAAATGATTTGATGGGAATTATAATATTTTATAGCTTCTGCAGGAAATGATTTATACAAACAAAACTAATTCTTAATAGTGCAGTCAGTATATTGAAACTGTACACATGAACAAGTAAAATTAAAATGTGCTGTACTATATTTTTTCAAAGCGCTATCATTGGAATTTTTAAATCTGTATAGTACATGAAAGCTATTGTATAGTAAGTGTATTAATTCAAGTCTTGGTTTTTCTCATTGATGCTTAGAATGTACATCATCTCTGTTCACTTTCTGAACCTCTCTACTTGTTTAGACCTAGATGACAGGAGGTGGGAAGGGCTGCCTTTGGGACATGTGCAAATTCTGGCAGTGGATGGATGGATTGGATGAGAGAGGGCCAAGTGCTGCATTACAATAGCAGTTTTTCTAAAGAGGCCTAAAATTAATAAAATTGAAATATGCACGGCCTTTCTCTGACAAAGCAAATCTGACCAAACAAATAACCTGTGCAGGTTTGTTTTATGAGTGAGGTATGATGTGGGTTACTGAGAAAATCACAGGGTCACAGTTCTGTTTCTTTATGCCCTGTCTGCAAAAGTCGGAGAGGCAACTTGGGGTCCTTTGTGTGGGTAAAATAGAGGTCTATATGCCATAAGTATTAGCATTTTGTCTCTGAACCTACAGAGAGGAGCTCACATGGACAAAAATCTTTTATTCTAGTATACTAGAATTCAGATTATGTTTGTAGAACTTCCTCTAAGGTGCAAACAAACAAAAAAAAGTACTAGTTCTAACCCCACTCCTCCCCCAAGGTTGCTGGCAAATGTCCAACAAATTGAATGGCTTGTTTAGATCCTTCCTTCAGTGACACTCATTATAGTACGAGACTAGGTTTGGTTTCACCTGATTTTTAGGTGGGAAGATTTTTTTTTTTTCTCTCTCTCCCTTTGCTTCTTGCTAGTAAACACATGATGTAATCATATTGAAACAATTAGTTTACTGTTTTATTGTACTGTTAAATAAATACTGCTGCAGTTTATTTTTTCTTTACCTGACACTTTTCCTATATGTCAGTGCACATGTAAGTAAGAACATTATCTTACTTAGTTTGAATATATGGATATTGGTGAAGATCCAGTATTTCTTATTTCTTCCCTTTTATTCCCAAGCTTACTGTAGTGAATGTTTAACTCAGTTTCTTAGCCTACTTTTTTATTACTCCATCCTCCAGGCTTTTCACCAATCTTTGGGAAGATACATAGAATAGTATTTCACTTTTGGGGAGCATCTGTGTTATCATTTCTTGCACCAAGATAATGCTAAAGGCCTTAGTTGAAGTTGGCTGGTAAAGAAAGTACGAATTTCCATTCCAGGGAAAATACAGTGATAATAGAGTAAGTAATAAGGCTAATATGGGTTTAATAGGAAAAAAAAAAAAGCAGGTCATTGAATAGTCATCTGAGAAAGAGAAATTTCCAAAAATCCCATTAAATCATTCAGCAATGAGGCAAATTACTGATATATTCATTGTTCACTACTGGGGATTAAATTCAGAAGATCATCCTCAATGATAAACCAATTGCAATGTTGTTCTCCAAAAGTGAAAGCCACTTCTTTGGGTTACTGTTCAGTGAGAAAATAATAAAAAGAACATTACTTATCTGCTATATAATATAATTAATTGTCTGAATTCAAAAGAAGTTCTGATAAGAAATAGTATTAGACTAGATTTTAGAATCTTTGAATTCTGCTTTTATATATAGTTAAGCACAGTGATACATTCTAAGAATTACACTTCTATATTTCTACAATAATTTATGTTAAAAAACTCTTGTCAGAAAGCAGAAGCATTGACTTAAATTCACTTTAGAATTTCTAGTTGTTCTTTTGTTATACAAATGTGTCTGTGCTTCTGATTCACCATGGTGCACCTTTAATTTAGAATAATAATACAAATAAATATACTAAACTATAATGCCCTCATCTCTGGAGACGGAACTATTCTTTATTAAATTGAGAATCTGAATTATAAGTACAGAACTTGATAGAAACGTTAATGTTTTAATCATGTAGAGAATCTTTAAAACAAAGTGTTTATAAATTATTGAGTAACCTGACAGGTTAACTATGAAATTGGAGTATGCAGCTAAGAAGTAGCAAACCAAAGCTGACTATTCTTCCTTCATAGAACTTTGATTTTCATAGACTGTACCTTGTTCATCCTTCCCCTCGGAATGCCACTTTTCCCCTCGATCTGTCATCTGTCCGTCTGTCATTGAGACATACCCACTTTGTCTTTTTAACATGTTATTTCTTCTATGAAACATTTATTCTGTTCAATCAGTTGTGAGATTTCTGAGCCCAAAACTATTTTAGATGTACTTTTCATAGAGGAGCACATATATTACAGCTTAGCTTATATTTATTTATGGACTTCCCCCTACCAATGTATTTTTTATCATTTTATCACCTTATCTTCTATCTTGTTAACCATACTCCCTCCAATCAACCTCTTTACCTCCTTGCCCATACTGAATTTTTGCACTGAAATGCTAAATTTTGAAGGCTGCAACCATTTTAAAAATTGTTTCTAAAACATGGTAAATAATGGTCATGCATTTTATATATAAATATGCATCTTAGCAGACTTAAAGCATTAATAGTAATCCGACTTATAGATTCTTTAGGGGAGACACTAAGTCTTTGTGTTATTATGAAAAAAAAATAAATTGGCAGGTTTTTTTTAACTTTATTTTTAATTCACAGTTACTGATTTAAGGGAATGCAATTATTGTCTTTTTAAAAGACCCTAAATTGTTAAATTATGGTATTTTCCTCTGCATTGTATGAGTGTAGGGCAAAAATATATTCTGTAGAACTAAATATAGTAGTAGATCAAAAAACCCTGAAATATCCTAGATGAAATATCTATTTTATTTTCTCTTTCTAATTCAAAAAATAAAAAAATAAATGGCCATTCAGTGTGTAGAAGCTATTATAATGCATTAAAATTTTATTTTTATATTATTTAAATATCTACTGTGCATGACAAAATATATTTCTGTGGCTGCATTTTATAGTTTTTCAAAGTAGAATTATCATTTTGTTTAGAATGTATTTTTCTAGTGACAAAAGGAATACCTTTTAATCCAGATATAGATTTTTTAAAATATTAGGCTATTTCTTTTTATACTACCTGATTGGTTTAAAAATCTGATGTGACAAATATAAAGTATATATAATTTCTTCAAATGTAACTAATCCAGAATAATAAAAGAAATAGTTATACCTTTTTATGTGATATTGTTTGTTTTTTCTGAGTATGTTATATGACATATTAAAAATAAATTTTCTATTATTTGGAGTTATAATTACTGACCTAACTTACACAAGTTAAGATCAGGTATTATTTCATAAGAATACCTAGCAAATGAGACCTAATAAAACTTTTTATTAGGTTTCATACATCTCTGTTTCAATTTGTCATGAAAAGTGTCCTCATTTATATATTGGATGGCTGGTTTTATGGCCTGATATCTTGCTTTCTAGAATGAAATCCACTTTAATGTAATAATATTTGATTGTAAATCTTCCCTGCTATTATTTACTTCGCATCAGGTTCTGTGCCAAGCATGGAGCCTGCTTAAGATTCTCCCTCTCTTGAGCGCCTGGTGGTTCCATTGGTGTATGACTACCGATCAGGTCATGATCTTATGGTTCATGGGTTCAAGCCCCACGTCAGGCTCTGTGTTGACAGCTCAGAGCCTGGAGCCTGCTTTGGATTCTGTGCGTCCCTCTGTCTCTGCCCTTCCCCTGCTTATGCTCTGTCTCTCTCCCTCTCTCTCAAAAATAAAAAAATTAAAATAAAAAAAGATTATCTCTCTCTCTCCCTCTGCCTCTCCCCTGCTTGTGTACTCTCTCAAAAATGCTTAACCTGTTAATGTTCCTCAACATTAGCTCTCTTGGCATTTTGGCAGCAGAGTTTTTGGCATGCAACTCATTAATTGCAGAACATTTAGCATCCCTGTGTCCTTCTGCTGGATGTCAGTAGTGTACCTCCAACCCTACATTGGGACAAACAAAAATACCCTTATTAACCCCTCTGGGAGAGGGTGATATTGTCCTTAGTTACAAACAAGGTAGTAATATTGGAGTTTGATTATTATTAAAAGAAAACAGCCTTTATCTTTTAAAAATAAAAGAAGAACCATATTGACTACAAATGCATAGAACATTCCACTAAAAAAAGGAGGTAGATATGAGGGTGGGGTCCAATTTAGGATTGTTTTTGTAATAATTGACACCATCTGCATTTGCCAGGAATTCAGCCAGCCCAAGTTGATTTCAAGAATTTTAAAACTTTGTTATTATGCTTCCGTAGGTACTGATGCTTGAGAAAGCACTAATCAAGTTACCAGTTTTTGAAACCACTGTCTCATTGTGACTATTCTGTAGTTTCTGCTACAACAAAATCAAAGTTCAAAAAAAAATGTCAGTGGAGGGAAGCATATTTCCCTTCAGTATTGTTTAATCCTTATCTATAGGGATGCTTGACAATAGGTTCAAACACTAGTTATTCTTCCAAGATAAGAGAATGTTGCTTACAGAAGTTACTATTTGAGATTCCAGACAATGGCCAGAAAGAAAAACAAAAAGGTAGAGGATTAAAGAACCAACAGTTACTAAATTTACCCATAGTGACTCTGATTTCTATCAGGGTTCCTGGTATTTAGTTCTTATGCTTCTTGACATCATTAGGATTCAAGCTGATACCAGGCACCAGTTCCCCCATTCAGATTACTGAGGAACTTTCCACTTGGAACATAAAATAAATGAAATAGTCACCTAAATTTACTTATGATGATAGCTATAAATCATTAGAAAGTAATTTGGAAATATTGGCATCTATCAACAATCCACACTTATTATAGTTTTCAATCAGTATTCCTATCATTCATCATAAATGAAAGAAAATCTTTCAGAATTTTTGAAAACAAATGCATTTAGGTATTCATCTAGCTTTATGTATAACAGCAAATTAAAAGCACGATCATGAATTTAGTTAAGTTCTGAGGTATTATTTGGGTGAGAAATTTGTAAATATTGATGTTGATGAGACTATACCATAATGTAATCCAGTTTAAAAGAAAGTAATTAAAATGTATACAGAGCACCTTTTTTTTTAAGTTTATTTATTTATTTTGAGAGAGAGAGCATATGCGCCTGGGAGAGGGACAGAGAATCCCAAGCAGGCTCCACACTGTCAGCACAGAGCTCTATGCAGGCCTCAAACTCATGAACCTTGAGATTATGACCTAAACCAAAACCAAGAGTCAGATGCTTAACAAACTGAACCACCCAGATGCCCTTCAACTATGTTTTAAAAAACTCATGCATGCCAAAGAGCAAACACATATGAAAATGGAAATGCATAATTTTTGCTGAGAATTTTTAATTAAAGTGATAATTTGGGCTTAGTATATTTCTTTTCACTGTAAGTATATTTTAGGGACATCTGGGTGGCTCAGTCAGTTAACAGCCAACTCTTGATGTCTGCCCAGGTCATGATCTCAGTTTGCGAGCTCAAGCCCCACATAGGGGTCTGCATTCATATCGCGGAGCCTGCTTCAGATCCTCTGTCTCCCTCTCTCTGCCCCTCCCCCCACCTCTCTCTTTCTCTTCTCAAAAATAAATAAATGTTAAAAAAATTTATAAATATATTTTAAAATATAGAACATTTAGACTCTTAACTATAGAGGTTAAGTGAACTGATGGTTACCAGAAGGGAGGTGGGGAGGGGACAGGGTTGGGGGAATGGCTGAAGCAGGTAGAGGGGATCATGACGAGCACTGAGTAATGTATAGAAGGTGTTGAATCACTATACTGTATAACACTGTATGTTATATACTAATACACTATACACTAATATAACACTGTATGTTAAGTATACTGGAATTAAAATTTAAAACCTACATAGAGCTTTTATAATTTAAACACATTAAAAATATTTCCTGTGTATGATATCCCTCTTCTATCTTTGCTAAGGCTCTTTAGAGCCTTTTACAACATCAAACAGCTAGAGAGTGATGTGTAATGAGAAGATCACCTAACTGGGAACTAGAAGCCTAAATGCTGTAAGCAAACCATTTGAATCCCAGAATGTCAGATTCCCAACTATATATGTTTTTTAAGACAAGAAAAAGTTAAAAAATCAAATTAGATAACCCTTACAGTTTTTCTCAGCTTGGATTATATAAGGTCATGCATTCAATGGTTTGGTACATACGTAACAGATACTAGATATTTGCTTATTGTTCTTGGCCTTATTCTCTTTATCTCTGGTAAAGCTTACACATGGTTAAATTGAAATAGCCCACTGACAAAAGAGGGAGTTAAAACTCAAAACTCTGTCTCTGCCAACATTTTCACTCTTATCTCATGTATTTCCAAATTATTTAGGGTGGGACTATAGCATTATTAGCACAGACCTTGATAGACAAAAAAAGTCACATTTATGTTAGCTAAACAATATACGGCCAGGAAAAAGAGAACACCATTTGTGTTTCCACAACAGAAACCCTATGCTGGAAATAGAAGTGGAGAGGAAAATAACCTGTTTTATTTTTATATTGCCCAAGTGTCTAACAGAGATTAGCACGTAGTATTT